GTTTAGGGTTTAGGGTATAAGGTTTAAGGTTTAGGGTTTAGGGTTTAGGGTTTGGGGTTTAGGGTTTAGGGTTTAGGGTTTAAGGTTCAGGGGTTAGGGTTTAGGGTTTGGGGTTTGGGGTCGAAAAGGGCCGAGGGTTTAAGACTTAGGGCTTATAGGGTTAGGATTTAGGGTTTAGGGTCTTTTGCCTGAACTCTATAAAATATAAAATCTACGGTCTTAGGGTTCCCCACTGGTCAAAATAGGGTTCAAGATTTAGGATGTTTTGGGGTTTAGCTGAGGTTCTAGGGTTTACAGGGTTGTTTGTAGAACCCTTGATGAGGGTTTAAGTGTAGGGTTAGGGTTTCAGTGTTTTCGGGCCAAGGGTGTCACAAGGCCTAAGGAACAGACGACAAGCCGTACTCAGTTGCAGAATAGCTAGAGATGAAAGGTATCGGAAAATGTAGAGCCTAGTAAGTTGAATTCTGCCCCCGTAAGCATTGTAGATTTTAGGGTTTCGGTTTTTTCGAAAAAAGGTTTTAGGGCAGCGGTAAACTTAGTAGAGATCTGCCAGGGGGAGCCCCTTATAAAACGTCTAAAATTTCAATGTTTTTTGGGGCCCCTATAGCAAGTCCCAGCATTCTACATGAACTCTCGCACCAGAAATGCCTGAAGCCTACACCCGCAACAGCCTTATTTCATGAATCTTCTGGTGCTTCGTTGCGAAAGGGTTTAGGGTTTAGGGTTTTTCCCTACTCTCGGAGCCATTGTTGTAAATTGTTGACGGTAAACCTGTCCAAAGGCTATTCCAAGTTCAGCACACGGGACTATACCCTTAAACCCGCGCATGGCTCACCTAGAGATACATCCGTGATACCCGCGCTAGTCTAGTCATAACAGGTTGCATAAGACACTTTAGTCAAATCTTGATGTAGTTCCCTGGTGGATGAAGCAAATGCCTTTAATACTGCTACCAATGGGGATCCGAGTATTAGGAAAGCTTTTTCTAAATCAGGAGGCTACGCTCAAAATTTACAGCACATTTCAGGATCTTTCTTTCCGAGTCGAGAGATTTAAAGAAGACACGCCAAACACCCATAGGCCTTTTTTTTGGATGCCATGCACGCAGACTCTGAGGGTTTACTAGGCTGCATGGTTTTGGACGTATAGGGAGCTACGATTTGGGGCTTATGGGTTAGAGTCCGTGGTTAGGTGGATAGGTGAGCTTAACGGTTTCAGTTTAGGGTTTAGGGTTGTTGTGTGCAACAGGCTTTCCACTTCGCCCGAGCCTGTTGCAAAAAAGGGTTGTTGTGTGCGTGCCTTCGGGTTTTAGGCACTTGGGTTTTGAAGTTTTTGGGTGTTCAAGCTGCTGTTTTTATGTTGTTCCCAGTTTTGACTAATGCAAATTGAGGCTTGTTTTGTGGTTCTGATGGGTTTGTGGGTTGGCGTTGGTGGTTGAAGGCATAGGGGCAGCCTCTATTTAGGTAGTTCTGGGACAATAGGAGGTTTGCATTCATGACTTGGTCTGAGGAGACTAGAAGGTAGCTTCTCTCATCCTGCAAAGAACTACGCACGATCGCTCAAACAGGACCGCCCTCACAGGTTCATGGGTAATTGTGAATCCGGTGTTGATGGCAATCTCTTCTTTAAAGTTCGCCAGTCTACACCCCAGTCCCTTTTGACATTGTAAGAGTTTTGGGGCTTCCCAGCTCGGAGGAATCCCAGCTTGGTGCTTTAACCTACGTGTATGTCTCATAATGTCATAATTTATGCTGCTTTGGCCTGTTCTTTCGGTTATCATTATCCGAAGTAGAATAGGTCGCTGAAGACCCCAAACCACCCCAGGGCCTAACCCCTAAACCCCAAACCCGGCGAGATTTGAGTCGGAACTTACTTCTTGTCCTATGGCATCCCCGAATGGGGCAGAGATGTCGGCTGTGTCGATGGACAGCGAGGGAAAAAGTTGAGCACGTGCATCCAAGACGCAACACTCGCAAGCAGAAAGTGTACGGTGGACGGACGGAGTAGACTGTTATTCCCTAGTAAATTTCTGCAATAGTATACCTCAAAACCCTAATAGGAAACACGAGAGTTTGCGCTGCTTACGCAAGGCTGCTGGGCTGAGACCGAACTTAAAGGACCATTGGACCCAGAGACTCCAATATCCCTCAAATAAGGAGTATACCTAAAATCATACTAGGGATCCTTCTATTTTTAAAGGTATATTCCTTAATTAAGGGATGTTGGAGTCTTTGGGGACTTAAGTTTCAGGTCTTCCCACCCGAACGTTTAAGCCCTATGCCCCCTCGTCCTTTAGCCTTCCAAGACCCCAAAATCCCAAACGCCGAAGGTCGAATGGTTTAGGGTTTAGGATCTAAGAACACGAACGACTCCAGCCACATAATAAGCACGCCCTGGGTTTAGAGCTTATGGGTTATTGCATAAGCACTGTATAACCGTAGAGTCCATGTGCGTATAGTCAGTCTATACATTGGCCAAGCTACTAATACTAATGATGTAGGGACCCCTTATGCCAAACTTTACAGTGCCTAGGTATAGGCCTGGCATAAGATAGAAGCCTGAACTACCCATACTCTTCCTTAGGGTTTCTGGTGAGGCTGTAATAGCAGATAGCCAAAACCCTCGTCAGGGGTCATGGCGGCTGTCTTATAGGCCTTGAGATGTCTATAAATTGTTGGGCTTAGGGTCACCCTCTCACCGCCCACCACCTAAGCCCAAAGCCTCTCAACCCTATCTCTCGAACCCTAAGCCGGCTTTTAAAGCTTGCTTCATTTAAAGTCAGGCCCATTTCCTCAAACCCAAATGGAAGAACATTGCGTTCAACCTTAAAGCTTGCACCCCACAGCCCTAAACTGTAGTCCGAACCCATCGGATCACGTTCGCGCAGCTGCGGGCCCCGAAGAGGGGGGGGGTTCTGTTCCAAGGGTCTGTTTCAAGGAAGTGTGTTTTGTCCTCCGAAGCAGCTTTTGCTGTGTTAGGTGACGTAAGATGTATGCGAAGCTGAGGTTTAGCTTAGCTGTTTCCTGAAATACCCCAGCCTAAGCCATCCTAAACCCATAAAGCCCAAGACTTGTTTTAGGCTTCGAATCATTTTGGCCCTACCTTGCTCTCTCCCCCAAGCTCCTCGTCGTTTCGATGGAGCCGCGGCCAACATGACGAAATGGCACTGTGGTTTTTCCCTGCTCCTGGTCATCCTGTTACGGGATGTTACTGTCACTCGTCCCACACTGGGTGTGGTACTCAGGACCCTAAGTTCCACAGCCCAAGCCGGGAACTCCTTGCAAACTCTATGCCAACCCAAAAGCCCTAACCTCAGGCCTGAATATAATCCTTATGGATGCAAACGTTGAGATTCCACCGTAGGATTCGGGGTGTCTTGCTTCACGCTTGGGGGTTTGGGGTTTGTAGGATTTTGGTTTGGGTTTTTGGGACGTGCAGCTGAAGCTTGCTTTGCCCCAGGTTCTTCGAGTTCCCAATATTTTCATGTTTATGGATCTGGGGTTTGAGTTATCTTTTGGCTGTTGGCGTTTAGGAGTTGAGGTTTCGAGATGGGTCCTGGAGCCTTACTGTACTGCAAGCCGGTGGAACGGGGGCCATGCTGATGAGGTACATAAAGCCCACCGCCTCCAACCTTGCCCTAAAGGGTCCATGCACACATCAGTATCAAATACGTACCCATGTTCTTGAGGGCTTCCTACACAGTGAGGTCAGGGCCAATTCAGGTTACAGTATCTTGACAGGAGAGGAGCAGACGAAGCAGCATCGCGAAACTTCATTTGCTTTCCAGCTACCATGAGCCAACAGCCTAGAAGCTGAAGATTTGGGCCTTGGGTTTAGGGGTTCAGGGATTAGGTGCATTGCAGTCCCTGCTCAAAAAATTCAGGGCTTAGTGCATTGCAGTCCCTGCTCAAAAAAAAGGGATTAGGGGTCTATCTGATGACCCCGCTCGGAACAGGAGATTAGTAGTCATCTCCCTTGGAGAGTCCCTTTATAATCATCCCGCTTGGAGGCCGCATTCTGCATGTTGCGGTCCCTATGATTATACCCATATAAACCATAAGTTTCAGAGCCCATTTTCAATACCCATTGACCTTATCCTAGCTATTGAGGCCAGCATAACAAGGTAAGTTCGGGCTTCTGGGAAAGCAGCCATGCGAAGGGAACCTGGGCGCGACAATGCCTTCCAACAGCAATCGAAGAGCCTTTTCGGAAGAATGTGCCTTGCCCTGGATTATCCTTATTATTATTGCGTTCTTACGGTTTCAGATGTATTATACACCCAAGGGCAAAGTATCACCAGTATTGTTTGGTGTCCAAGGAGCTTAGGTACAGTGTCAGAGTTAGAATACTTACTGTACAGTGCCGGTTGTCCTTTATGGAGTCGGTGTGACTCTGTGTTCCGATAGCCCCAACTACGATTTTCCTCTCAAACCCCGTGTTTCGGGTCTACGGCACAGCAAGATAAAACATAAGTTGAAGATGATTAATATAGGGATGGTTGACGCCAAGGTTTTCCTTCGTTTTCTGATCAAAACAAACAAACCCTACTATGTGTGGTTTTTATCCGTGCCCCGTCTTCTACTTGGTCTGCGAGCAGCGTTCAGGGTTTCAGATTCTGAGCCCTACTGGAAACCGCAGACCCACACACTTCGGTTTGGGGTTTTAGGGACTGCCCTAAGCATGAATTAGGAACGAGAACAGGCCAAAGCATACATGGGCGACTGTCAGCATCATGGCCCCTTTTGGAAGACCGCTATAACACTTTCTACTTAGTTCCCCAATACTTACCCAACCTTTTGACTTTTTGGGTTCTCATTTTAGTAGTAACCTCAAAATTTAACTTTTTTCCTTGGTTTACTGGAGAAGCCAAACTACGGCACCCTACACTTTGGGAACCCCAAAGTGTCCGAAGTTTTGACAAACACCCAGATGAAGCCTACCCTGTTGAGTGCTTTCTTGGTGGCATTCTGTTCAATATTTTTCAACTTAAAAAAAGGTGCTGAAGATCGGGATCTTGATTAAAACACCCCCCTAAATGAGGGACTCCCAGGTATACAACTATATCAGTCATGAGCGCCATACAAGCCTTGAGCACATTGTGTGTAATTCCGGGTTTAGAGTTTAACTATCTTGTTCTGTTTGCAAAGTTGGGACTGGGTTTGTGTGCCTCCCCCCTGGCTTTGTGTCTCGCCAGCCCCTCCCCCCTACCCCACCGTAGCAGTGTAGTAGTAGTAGTAGTAGTAGTAGTAATAGTTATGGTACTTCTAGTAATTTGTTATCGTATCAGCAACGGAACCGTAATGATGACAGACAGTACGGGGGAGGGAGGGCAGCCGGGGAGGGGGGAGGTCGAGGAGTGAGGAAGGGGGGGAGTGCTTGGAAGCCGAACAAGTCTTTGTTGACCACTGTTGTCGGCTTGGGGTTATGTGGTTCAGGGTTCGCGATTTGGGGTTCAGGGTTCAGTTCAAAAGGTTTGCTTTAAGCATCACTTGAAACCCAGCTACTTGCCTTCAAGCAAGCTTGGATCCTTTTCTCGGGTCCGCAGTGTCTCAGTGACAAACAGCTGTTCGCTTAGGGACTAGAGCCGCCCCCGAACAGGGTTTAGGGTCTTAGGGACCCGAAGCACGAAACGAAGCAGAGGTCACAGTGGATGGGGTCTCTAGACCCATTGGTCTCTGGGTCAACGGCTGGGATTCAGCAGAGGCCTGTGCGGTAGTTAACTGCTGGCTTCAGGATTTCGGGGTTGAGGGCTAAACCCGAAACCCCAAACCCTA